CCAGAATAAGTTAATATCTCAACAACACATTGGATCAGCATCAGCCTTAATTATGAATAACTTTGGAGAGCAAAAGTGGAAGCAAGCATATACTGATTGAACACATGGATAATAAGGGGCCCAGATGACCAATATCTTTCATCAACATAGTTCAATTGATAATCTAAAAACATTCCAAAAGCTGTATTGGAAAGAAAGAGACAGAATTTGAGAGTATCTATTTATTCTCTTAAATTTAGATTTATAGCACAATGTATTTCACCATCATCAGCATTACATTTATATGATTCTCCAATCTTATTCAAGATAATGGACCTAATATCCAGGGCTAACAAAAGCAAGACAGTTGATGAATGCATTACCAGTACAATTCAGGAACGCAAAGTAGTAGGTTTGTAGTCTATCACTAGAACTTTATCCAAATGGGACAGGAACAAGTTTGCAAATTCAACATGCGCAGGATGAGCTATATACTCTGCAACACCCTCTGTGCTCTCAAAGGTAGATTCAAAGATATGAGTGAAACCTTGATGCAGATTCTCAATACTCACATCCCTGCCCCTGTTGCAACACATAACAAAATGGCAAAAGGGTGAAGATTTTTTAACTCAGGTACCAAAACCACACTAAGTTATTGTTAACATCACAATTTTCCAGAAATTGTGTAGATCCAGACAAGTATATTATAAGCGTAATTTGTTAAACAACTATAAGGGCAGGCTGGCAGCAATACGACTACTACAATGAGCCACCAGGACTCAAGATTTGCATCAAAACATGCTTATGAAAAGGTTAAGAGACAAATAACCAGAGGTTTGGTAAATTCTTCACAGAATGTAAAGTGCAATGCTTTTAAATCCCAGAAAGAATATTCTAATCTTTCAATAAGGCGCCATTAAAAACACTATAGCAGGATTTTCCAAAACTCAGAAACCCCATAACCCATATAAACAGTAAGCTAAACAAGATCACATATTGAGTGTTTATCATATTACTATTGAAAATACTTCATGGGTTCGACGAGATTGACAAGATTAGCATAGCCTTTGATGAGCTGATCAATTTCTTCTAATTTTACCTCGTCTTTGAACCTCGCGAGTAAAATGTGCTTCACCACTCCTTTAGCCTCTTCCATTTCCTAATGTGCTTCGTACATTAAAAAATAAATAAATAAATAATTTGTCAAGCATAATGTTAGGTGTAAATGACTTGGTGTTGAAATGGTTGGTGGGACGTGGACATCATTTTTATAGAGCCGACGACGTATTCCCACCGAGGTTTATTGAAATCTTAAATTGATACTTTTGATTACATTTGTTCTTGATTTCTATCTTTAAAGTAACGATGCTTTCTTTATTTTAACAGATCCCAACAATTTACTGTAGCGAAGCGCACGTTAGCACGCTAAAATGCGTTGAAGCTTTCTTTGGCATAAAGTGGACACATTTTAGCAAAAAGCGGCTCATGTTGGTAGTGTTCAAGCTGACAATTTTTTGCTTTTTTTGACTAATTTCGAAGTCTAAAATCACATTCGAAACCATCATTGGACTCCCTACAACCTCTTTTACAAAACCCATACCTCCACTTGCAGACCTCAATCATTGTTTTCGACCACCTCCAACAGTCACTAATAATATTAGTTTAAAGGTGAAAATTTGAAATAAATACAACTAGAAGTATCAACTTAGAATTTCGCCAATCCTCAAGTGAGAATATGTCTTTTACACTCCGTTTTGCTACTTTTTTTTATTTTGTATTTGACTTAATCATCGGAGGGGGCACACTAGTAAAAACCATCTGGCCTCTTTAACGTTAGCAAATCTTTGTGTAAGTGATTGCAGGATCCGTAGAAATCTCCTAGTTTGAGCAAATCTCCTATTGACATTCACATACCTCTCCGCAGCAACTTCTGCCTGAGTCATTATTTTTTCGCTCAAACAATGATAATTAATTGTTAGAAATATTGGCGCAATTGGTGAGGCCATCATGATCAGCTCAGGCAACTCAACAAGATGATCAATTATACTGTCAAAAACTTGTATATCACATTCGAAGCCATGAATTAGCGAGATAGATTTAATATTTTAGCTCATTAAATTAATTCTATTAGACTACAACCTCAAATTAAAACCAGTAATCCAAATGAAACCAGTAAGTATTAAAATAAAGAATAGTGAAAAAAAATTAAAAAATAAAAACTTTTTTTATCTTACTGAGGTTGTGATTGCAGGAGTTTTGTCACTGCTTCTTGCACAATTAATTCTTGTGTTCAAGATTCTTCATTATATCTGAAGTATTCAGACCCACATTAGAATTTGCCTAATATAATCTAAGGATATTGCACACTCGTAATCTCAACAAAATGTTTGAAAGAAAAACTTGAGAAAATTGAGTTTAATTAGTTATAGTCCGTATGTAAAAGAACTTTATATTTAACAAAATTATGGTTGGCTTTATAAATTACAAACTTTATGTTATAAATCCACTGTTGTAAAAAAATTTTGGACAGCTGAACTTTGAAAAATAAAACATCTTAATATTTTTTTTATTTGAAATAAAAACCGGGGTAGGGGTACTTTCAAGTTTCAACCATATGCCCTTCTATCCATCTGGCCACAAGTTGGTGGTTAAACATTTTAATATTTGATTTGCATGTAGCAAAAAAAACATATAAATAATTAATTACAATATCATAAGATATTGACAACTTTATTAATTAATTACATTCCTTATAAGTTTCCCAAAGGAAATTTGGCTTGAAATAATTATATTTTTGCGATATTGAAATGTTATTTGGAAAAGTGAATATTTTTTGTCTATTTTTGCATGACTTGTTTTATTTGATTATCAATACCTTCCTTCCCAAGATAATAATTTATTTCCTATTTGACGTTTATACTAAGATATTTGTTTGCCATATATTTGGCATTACCTTTTATGGCATCAAAACCTTCATATAATATAATAAAACACGAGAATGGGGGTCCAAATATATAAGGGAATGTGGATAATAATATTGTACTTGATATATGATATCTCTACTTAATCAATATCAAAATATTCTTATAGCTTTTCTCCTTTTAATTATTCCTTTGAGTTTCGGATCCGAATATGCATCTTTGCTTTCTCTTTAGCCTTCTCAATAGATGATATATGATTTTCTGAGACCACAATTTTCCCAAGAATTCACTCACAAAAACTAACCACAAATGAAAACCAAATATTGCCACTTAATTTTTTCATTTCATTTCCATGTTGTTACAACTTATAAAGTTGAAAATTAAGTACTACGCATTTATAACTTACATAACTTATTTATGTATATTGTATAGTACGTTGGCTATATATATTATAAAGAGTAAATGACATATTCCCATTCGAGGTTTGGCGAAATCTTAAGTAGGTACCCTTGGTTGCATTCATTCTACATTCACACCCTTAAAGTGACAAAAAAGTGTTTGATTTAATGGTGAATGGGTAAATTGGTCATTTTGTAGGAGGCAACGCATATTAACAAACATTACCCTCAGCTTTTTTCGCCCTTTTCCGGCGATTCTTTCACCCAAAAGCACCCTTGTCACCACCATTCGAACCCCCATCCTTCTCTCTACAAAACTTTTCCCTTCACAACCCCTCATCACTCGCCGATTGCCAACCACGGCAACCGTGACATGCAATTATTTTTTTCTGGTTTTTGGCCATTTTGAGCGGCTACAACCCCAACCACCACCACCGTTTGACTCCTCGCATCCCCCCTAAAAAATCCCTATCCTTCCCGACCATGACAACTCACAATTTGCCGTCTACCACTTCACCAAAAACGTGATGAACACAAACCTCTTGGCTGGCAAATGGCAACTAAACAGTTGGTGGGGACATAGGGGTTTTATAGAGTTGGTTGAAGTGGTGGTGTTTAATTGGATTTTTACTGTCGAAATCCAGCAAAAAACAAGGAAACCCTAAACCAAACTGCACCGGCAATCAGAGGGGGTAATGAGTCGGGAACCAAAGGGGTTTAGACGACGGACTATGTGAAAGGTGATAAAGGTGACCAGGGGGTTCAACACCATCAGAAATAGCCCAAATCGAGCAAAAATCGACAGGGTGCACAGCCACTGAAGGTGTTATTGAAATAATTTAAAAATAAAATGGTAAATTTATAATTGTATTAATTTATTTATTAAGGACATTATGATAATTGCACCGTTTGTAACCTAAAAATTGCTAGCAGTATTTACTTTAAGGGTGAGAATTGGAATAAATGTAATCAAGGGTACTAACTTAGGATTTCGCCAAATCTCAGGTGAGAATAGGTCGTTTACTCATAAAATTATAATACAAGTAAGCATGTTTAATAGTTTGATCTACGTTAAAAATGAAGTACATGTAAGCATGCCAAAGTCTTAATGAGTGAGGTGATAAATAGCAAATTGTTTACCAATATATCAACAAAATTGTCTGTACAACCTGGATAGATCATTATTACACATGTTGAAACTATTATTGTTTGTTTAATCAAAGTTTGACAGAAAACAGGGGAATAGAAATAGAAGAGCTCTGTTTTGCTTTGTTTATTCTCTGTTTTTATAGATAAAAATGTTTGTAGGATATATAAAATCTCACTGTTATTGTTCACACTTCCAAATGGTTCTCTTGAATTCTTGAAAGCAAATATATGATATATCTATGAGTAATACTATGCATCCAACTGAGTCATACAAACAGATAAAAAACAAATGATAAAGTAGTTATTTTACATAACTTTTATACAATTTTTATGTGTCTATATGACTCAATTATGATCAAAACATTATTGTATATTTAAACACAGAAATATTCAGATTTGGGCCTTGAGGATGTTTTGTTTGCTGAAACAGGCCTATTTCAATTCGGCCCATTTCATTATCCCCTGCTCCCTCTCGCAGCTCCTACACTCTCTTCCACTTCGCGGCTGCGACCTGTAAGCTTGTGAGAAATGGAGAAAATGGGTGATCTTGTCTGGTCAAGACAATCGGATCTTAGCAAGTCTTTGAAGCTCGCAATCCGTTCTCTTCTCACTACTTGCTCAAAACAAGTGTCTTTTCTTCACTGCTTAATTTTCTACGTTCTTTTCATCCACTTTCACTATCAATTCTCTTATTTACCACTATTTTTTTTTTCTTTTTTGAATTGAAAAAGGAATTCAGCAAAGCATTCAATAACTTTACTTCTTCTGAGCAAGACTCCCTCCACCGCCTATTCATCCAGGTCCCCTCTCTAAACATCTACTCAGACCTGTTTTTAATTCTTTTAAATTTTGTTTTGGTTCATGTTTGAAATTTGAACTAATGGGTGTACAGTTTCAGGTGATTACTTCTTTGCATGAAAACATTGAGGTATGATTTTTCCTTATGTTTTTTAAAGGATTTAAATACGTTGTTACTAGGCTATGATTGTTAATTTCAAACGTTGCCACTTTTGCATGTTACAGGATGAGTTTCAGTCTTTATGCCTTGAAACTCAGGTATATTTCTATTCATTACTTTGGTCCGCGGCTAGATGTGGTCAATTCAATTACTAATTAAAATCATTCCTTTTGATTTTATGAATTTAATTGGTTGGGCATTCTAATGTTGAATTAAATATGATTTTGAAGGCGGGAAACACTCTTGATACTGTGGAGCAACTTGTGGAAGAACAAGACCTGGATCCATTGTCTTCAGATAAGTAGGTCTATCTAATCCCTTGATGGCATGTAAATACTTGTTTAACTGATAAAGTTTTATTGCAATATTCACTATGTGTAATAGATGTTTTTGTCACATCATTGTATGCTTGAGCTACATATTTTAAGCTGCTCAAACCAATACTATCTGATTTTATATGGTCATTTGGAAAACTATTACACTTGTATCCATACACAGTACATTAACAAGAATGAGTGAAATGATTTTACTCATGATGTCTTCTGTATTAGAGCTCTGGTCTTATCATATTATTTGAAAAGGGTAGTGTGCAGGTTGGCTTCTAAACAGTATTTGTTTGGTTTTTTCGCTATGCATTGATTCTTCACTTGGTGGATAATTAGCAGTATTATAGAATTCATTGTTTCATGTTACTTTTAACGTTTAGAATGTTTATTTTGTTTAGTGAGAGGACCTTGCGGATAATTGAAGCTGTACAGCCGTTTCCCTGGACATGGTCAGAGCAGAGTACTTCATGTACTTGACAGCTCTAGATTTTATGTTCACATTCTGATTTAGCTCAAGATTTGGCTACTCCTGCCTCTAAATTAGGAAAAAGTTTTCTGCTATGAACATGATACATTCTGCAAGGCCTTTTTCTAAGTTCACTCTGCTATACATATATTAGATACGTAATGACCAACTTACTCTTGAAGAATGCCATTAGTAGTAGACAGAGGCATATACATGGGTGGTGTCAGATCCCAGTAGACATTATGGTTTGATACTTGTAACCATTTTTCCTGGATCAACTTTTCACTTTAATCTACTACATGTGATTAATTTTAAGATTTATCTTCCTTCATCAAGAAAGAAACAGAGAATAAAACAAAGAAGAACACAGTTGCAATCTTTTCTGACAGTGTAGACCTACTATTTAATGATATTAAGGAATATTATGTATGAACTAAAAACAAATAACCACTGATGGAGAAATGCTGACAGTGTATGTTTCTATACTCTCCTCATCATCCATAACTCTGATGCAGTCACTATCGTGACTTCGTAACAAAAAATTTGAAGGACTATCCAACTACATTTGTTTCATGCTGGAACTGGTTTCAATGGCCCTTGGATTACTACTTGATCGATATGCAGTTCATTCTATATCTTGCAATGGACTTTCTTATTTCAAGTGTCCTGACTGACATGCAGGACAAATATTATGGATGTTACATGTGATCTGTCAACAGCGAAGAAGAATGAGATCTAGAACTTGATGCTTATGCTGGAAAGGGTGAGTAATGTTTAGAAAAGATCAATTTTCTTCATTCAAAAATATGGATATATTATTTTTGTTTGTTTTCAAGGGTTTTTTTAACATGCATTATGCACTTATTGATTGGTGGTGGAACCAACTTTTGTTGATTGGTTGAAGAGGTTTTATGTCAATAAGATTTGAGCTTCTCTAGTTTTTTCTTAAGTAGGACAATTTGTGCATAGTATCTTGCTGAAATCCTACAGCAGAAATCAAGATGATGGGGATTTATAACTGAATTTTTTTTCTTCATTTTGTACTCATGGTGTTCTTATAGTTGTTCTGTTCTGTTTTGTTCTAAAAATATCTCCTTTATCTTGAGAAACAAGCAAGATGAAGCAACATTTGCCCATCAAATGTGCTGATTTACCCTCCTGCATTAAGGTTAACTAGAAAATGTGTCTAACATTTCTATTTAATTTCAGGTTCCCAAAAACCAATTCGTACAACTCAAAAATGTTTGTCATAGCACTTTGCAAATAGTCCCCTAGAATACTCAATCTTGCTCAATATTGTCATGCTTTGTTCAATGATTTTACGTTATCTTAGGGCAAAGTTTTGTGGGGAGCTGTGTTTGAGCATTTTATCCTGTCAAGAAAGAGCCAATTCAGAAATCAGTCTATGCAAGGAACATTTGTATTGAATTCCCGTCAGTCTTGGCAGCCAATCTTACTTTTTGTTCCAATAAGTTAGAATGCTCCTTGACACCTTGCTCAATCTAATTTATGCTTTCATTGATTTGCTAAGGGTAATCCTGAAGTTGCTAAATGTAAATCTACTACAAATATAGGATACACGATTCCTGGAAATGATTGCCTTTATTCAAATAATCTATAGAAAACGAAAATGGGCTCTAGTATTGGCCCAAAAATCTTTTTTTGATTCTAGTAAAATAGGTACTGTACATAAATGCTTTTTTGTTGTGTAAACTGTTCTTATTCTGCTTCATTCATTAGGTTGAAGAACAGAATCACCTGACCCAAGCAGTATTGTAATTCTTTTGAGAGATTCATAAAGTTACTTGTAATATTTTCTGTAATCTTATGCTTTATGAACAAAATGTGAATCTTTCATCCACTGATCCAATCAAGAGTGACTTTGCTCTCCTATTATCCAAAGAAGCTCTGTTAGGATAATTAAGGATTGTGCTTTCTGGCAGGTTATTGGCAAATTCCATTCAGTGCAGGATGCTTAGCAGAGGTGGCTGTGTTGGGTGAGTTTCTCAGAAGTTTTGAAATTGTAAAACTAATATCTCCACTCTCTCACATCCTACAAATATCAAATCTTTTAAAACTGGCCATTTGAAGAATGTGTTCCTCCATATAAACCTTTGAGATTTGGTAAGCATGTATAGGGGTTTGATCTAAATTAAAAATGAATTACATGTAAGCATGTATAATTTAGGTGATAACATAATGCCAAAGTCTTAATGAGTGAGGTGATAAATAGCGACTTCTTTACTTAAACTGTCTACACAACCTACATTAAATAGGTAGATCACTATTACACCATGTTGAAATTATTATTGTTTGTTTAATAAAAGTTTGACCGAAAACGGGGTTGCTTTGGAAATAGAGAAGCTCTGTTTTGCTTTGTTTATTCTCTGATTTGATTCATAAAAATAGTTGTAGGACATATGAAACTGTTTTCCTTTACATTTCTAAATGTTCCTTTGAATTCTTGAAAGCAAAATATGATAGGTTTTAGTAAGAACTTAAAAACAGAGTTGGTGTACCTGGAGTGTTTACTTGAGCTCTGTCATGGCCTTCAGGGTTTTGGAACACTCTTGAGGGGAAAAGGACTTTAGCTGTATGGGTTTGTTTCGGCAAGCAAGTTCTTTCGGTAAGTTACTATTACCGTCTTAATACAAATTTGAAGAAAAAAACAATCACGTTCGATCAGTTACACTACTAAATGCTGATAGTGCATATAATGCATCAACACAAAATTTGAAAAACAAGATATTTTAGGTGATGTTTAGAAAAATTGAAACATGAGAGACAAATATATAAATTTTATTTTATTTATTAATGGGACCCTTGAATAACATCATATCATACTATTCAGTGATGCAACAACACTTATCAGCTTTTAGACACACCGCATTTATAGGGATTTTCTGACTGTGCTTATACTTAACAAGGCAAGCGCTAAGACATTGAAACTTGTCACAATTCCCAGGAAAAGGTATGTAAGAATCACAATCATCTGCCTTTGACTCTGCTTCATCAAAAATTGTACCTGTAATCTCACAATATCAATTATATATAGCTGTAAACATATACCCAATAAACAATAAAACATCGATATAATTCATTTTAAAAATCATCTTATCAGTTTAATCAAGTAAATAATTAAAAATAATGAAAGATATAAAACTTAATTCATAATATTAAGAAGAATACATTACCTGATAACATAATAACCAAGAAGAAAAAAAGCACTGTAAGTTTGGTGGTCCTCATTGTTTTCAATTTTAATGATTATTTTACTCTCTAAAGTTATTACTTATAGCACGTAAGCAACAAAGGAAGTTAATATATATATAGTAACATTTACTGGAAACTTCAATTTCATTACCATTTTACTCCATTCAACAATCAATTAAAACGTTCACCATATATACGTTATCATTAAAAATATCAATCACATTAATATTATAATAAAATCGTAAATTGATAATGTACCCAAGACAAAATTGGTATTAAAAGTTCTAACAATATCAAAATAAAATCATGCATGTGAATGTATATATGGTAACAATATCAAAGTTATTTTACCTAAATGGTAATGAGATTACATTCTTGCTTTAATTGTTTCTCTGTGGTTGTAAAACAATTAAAACTAATATTGTTACCGTGTGTGTGTATATATATATTCACACGGTAACATATAATGCAAAACTTTACTTACCAAAATCAGTAGCTAAAATCCCAAACTCACATGTGCTGGTACACAAGCCCTATCAATCATAAATTTGAACTAAATCACAACTTAAATCGTTATTATTCAAAAAAAGGTAATGCTACATGTATAAACTAATAATAAAAACTATTCCCTAGAAAGCAATGTGACAGTCCTACATGTTTGACACATCATCTCCTCTAATTTGCTAAGTTTATCTCTAATTTAAAATAGAGTAATTTTTTATACAAACCTTACGATGTCACCACTCTTTAATTGACACATTATTTATCTAATTTGTTGAGCATTTAATGAGTTGACTTTTTATTTGCATTCATCCATTCATTTTATAACACATAAGATTGTATGAAAGAGTTTGTACAAATAATATTATTCTTTAATATAATCCAATTACATTAAACAAATCAATTTGTATGAGAAGTTTGTATATGTAGCATTATTCTCATATATTAAAAAAAAAAAAAAAAACTACATGCATCTATTATTTCTAAATATTTTAATCCAATAAATAAAAATCAGCCACCAAACCAATATTTACTCATGAGATCGATCTCTTAGAATTCATTATCTAAACTGAAAAATTCTCTGAATGCTCTGTTTAGCTTTTGCTCATATTTCATTTAAAGCTTCAAATTCTCTGTTTTTACACATATTTTGAAAGTTTTGTGAAGCCAAAAACGGAGCCGTTTCACTTGAGTCAAAACGGGGTCGTTTTGTTTAAAGCCATTACCAAGTTTTAGCCATCAGATCAAGACAGATCCAAGGGCTGAGAACTGCTGATGACTTAGTATATAAAGAAGCCCAACAGTGACACTTACAAGAACGCGTATTTTGTTATTCAGAGAATTAGGGTTAACAAAAGGGGATACACTCGGGCTAGGGTTTTTTTCTTTCTGTTGAATCTTTCTGGGTTCTATGTACTCATGGTGTTCTTATAGTTGTTCTGTTCTGTTTTGTTCTAAAAATATCTCCTTTATCTTGAGAAACAAGCAAGATGAAGCAACATTTGCCCATCAAATGTGCTGATTTACCCTCCTGCATTAAGGTTAACTAAAGAATGTGTCTAACATTTCTATTTAATTTCAGGTTCCCAAAAACCAATTCGTACAACTCAAAAATGTTTGTCATAGCACTTTGCAAATAGTCCCCTAGAATACTCAATCTTGCTCAATATTGCCATGCTTTGTTCAATGATTTTACGTTATCTTAGGGAAAAGTTTTGTGGGGAGCTGTGTTTGAGCATTTTATGCTGTCAAGAAAGAGCCAATTAAGAAATCAGTCTATGCAAGGAACATTTGTATTGAATTCCCGTCAGTCTTGGCAGCGAATCTTACTTTTTGTTCCATTAAGTTAGAATGCTCCTTGACACCTTGCTCAATCTAATTTATGCTTTCATTGATTTGCTAAGGGTAATCCTGAAGTTGCTAAAAGTAAATCTACTACAAATAGAGGATACACGATTCCTGGAAATTATTGCCTTTATTCAAATAATCTATAGAAAACGAAAATGGGCTCTAGTATTGGCCCAAAAATCTTTTTTTGATTCTAGTAAAATAGGTACTGTACATAAATGCTTTTTTGTTGTGTAAACTGTTCTTATTCTGCTTCATTCATTAGGTTGAAGAACAGAATCACCTGACCCAAGCAGTATTGTAATTCTTTTGAGAGATTCATAAAGTTACTTGTAATATTTTCTGTAATCTTATGCTTTATGAACAAAATGTGAATCTTTCATCCACTGATCCAATCAAGACTGACTTTGCTCTCCTATTATCCAAAGAAGCTCTGTTAGGATAATTAAGGATTGTGCTTTCTGGCAGGTTATTGGCAAATTCCATTCAGTGCAGGATGCTTTGCAGAGGTTGTTGTGTTGTGTGAGTTTCTCAGAAGTTTTGAAATTGTAAAGCTAATATCTCCACTCTCTCACATCCTACAAATATCAAATCTTTTAAAACTGGCCATTTGAATTATGTGTTCCTCCATATAAACCTTTGAGATTTGGTAAGCATGTATAGAGGTTTGATCTAAATTAAAAATGAATTACATGTAAGCACGTATAATTTAGGTGATAACATAACGCCAAAGTCTTAATGAGTGAGGTGATAAATAGCGAATTCTTTACTTAAACTGTCTACACAACCTACATTAAATAGGTAGATCACTATTACACCATGTTGAAATTATTATTGTTTTTTAAATAAAAGTTTGACCGAAAACGGGGTTGCTTTGGAAATAGAAGAGCTCTGTTTTGCTTTGTTTATTCTCTGATTTGATTCATAAAAATAGTTGTAGGACATATGAAACTGTTTTCCTTTACATTTCTAAATGTTCCTTTGAATTCTTGAAAGCAAAATATGATAGGTTTTTGTAAGAACTTAAAAACAGAGTTGGTGTACCTGGAGTGTTTACTTGAGCTCTGTTATGGCCTTCAGGGTTCTGGAACACGCTTGAGGGGAAAAGGACTTTGGCTGCATGGGTTTGTTTCTTTGCACTAAGTTAAGGTGGAGTAAGCAAGTGCTTTCGGTAAGTTACTATAACCGTCTTAATACAAATGCGCCCTAAAATTATAGTCTCAACAAATTTGAAGAAATAAACAATCACGTTCGATCAGTTACTAAATGCTGATAGTGCATATAATGCATCAACACAAAATTTGAAAAACAAGATATTTTAGGTGATTTTACAAATATATAAATTTTATTTTATTTATTAATGGGACCCTTGAATAACATCATATCATACTATTCAGTGATGCAACAACACCTATCATCTTTTAGACACACCGCATTTATAGGGATTTTCTGACTCTGCTTATACTTAACAAGGCAAGCGCTAAGACATTGAAACTTGTCACAATTCCCAGGAAAAGGTATGTAAGAATCACAATCATCTGCCTTTGACTCTGCTTCATCAAAAATTGTACCTGTAATCTCACAATATCAATTATATATAGCCAATAAACAATAAAATATCGATATAATTCATTTTTAAAAATCATCTTATCAGTTTAGTCAAGTAAATAATTAAAAACAATGAAAGATATAAAACTTAATTCATAATATTAAGAAGAATACATTACCTGATAACATAATAATCAAGAAGAAAAAAAGCACTGAAAGTTTTGTGGTCCTCATTGTTTTCAATTTTAATGATTATTTTACTCTCTAAAGTTATTACTTATAGCCCGTAAGCAACAAAAGAAGTTAATATATATAGTAACATTTACTGGAAACTTCAATTTCATCACCATTTTACTCCATTCAACTATCAATTAAAATGTTCACCATATGTACATTATCATTAAAAATATCAATCACATTAATATTATAATAAAATCGTAAATTGATAATGTACCCAAGACAAAATTGGTATTAAAAGTTCTAACAATGTCAAAATAAAATCATGCATGTGAATGCATATGTGGTAACAATATCATATTTCTTTTACCTAAATGGTAATGAGATTACATTCTTGCTTTAATTGTTCCTCTGTGACTATAAAACAATTAAATCTAATATTGTTACCATATATATATATATATATATATATATATATATAACACGTTAACATTAAAAATATCAATCACATTAATATTATAATAAAATGGTAATTTAATAAATGTACCCAAGACAGAATTGGTATTAAATTTTTTAACAATATCAAAATAAAATCATGCAAGTGAAGGTATATATGGTAACAATATTAGAGTTATTTTACCTAAATGGTAATGAGATTACATTTTTGCTTGTGTTTCTTGATTTCACAGTTGAGTGATTAGGTGAATATGGAATGAAGGATACATGAAGAGGTGTCTCTAAGAGGACAGGAGCCTCTACTTAAGAAATGAGAAACATTTGCTATCCCAATCATAAGTTCCTTTGTATCAAATCATATCTATTTCGTCACATCTCTGTTTTTGGCTTTCAATCTAAAGCTTCGAATTGCCTCTTTTTTATCCCTTTATTATGTACTCAAAATGGTAATTTAAGGGGGTGTACCAAAGGGCTTTTGTTCAGTTGATATTATTGTCTTAATACAAATACTTCCTGATATAATACATAGACTCAACAAATTTAAAGAACTAAACAATCACTTTTGTTCAGTTACACAACCAAATTATCCTTCATAAGAATATTCAATAATGCACATGTGAAAGCAGAGTAGTAAAACTCAATCTTGATAGTGCAAATAATGCATTAACACAAAATTAAAAAATAAAAATAAAAAAAAATAAAAAAATAAAAAAAAGGAGGGACATGAGAGACAAATATATAAATTAAAGTTTATTTATTAATGGGATCTTTGAATAACATCAATAGAGGATCACATCATATTATCCAGTGATGCAACAACACTTATCATTTGTTTCACATCCAGCATTGATAATGATTTTGGGTGAAGTCTTATACTTATCCAAGCAAGCGTTAAGACATTGAGCCTTTGTACAATTCCCAGGAAAAGGTAAGTGAGAATCACAGTTATCTTCCTTTGCCTGTGCTTCATCAAACATTGTACCTATAAATTATAATCTCACAATGTCAACTATAGCTATGAAATTTATATAGGGTAACAATACATATTATCGACTTAAAATTACTAATATAGACCTATCATGCTAACATATATATGATTCATTTTTCTAAACTCACATTGGCACATAAATCATCAAATATTAGATGTATAGTTAAAAGATGAAAAACCATTATATTTATCATTAACTATGAAAAATAGGAATTTAATACAAAATATTAAGAGAAATGTATTACCAGATGAGAGTACCATGAAAAAAACTAGAAGCATTGAAAAATATTAAGAAGAATATATTACCTAATAATAACATAACGAAGAAGAAGAAGAAGAAAAACACTGAAATTCTGGTGGTCCTCATTGTTTTTTCTTTTTTGTTTTTGTTTTGTTTTTTTTCTTTTAAGAGATTATTTTACTCTCTAAATAGCCAGTAAGCAACAAAGGAAGCTAATATATATAGTAACATTTATTGGAAACTTCAATTTCATTACCATTTTACTCCATTCAACAATCAATTAAAACGTTAACATTAAAATATCAATCACATTAATATTATAATAAAATGGTAAATTAATAAATGTACCCAAGATAGAATTGGTATTAAAAGTTCTAACGGTATCAAATTCAATTGTCACAATAAAATCATGCATGCATGTGAATATATATATATGCTAACACTATCAGATTTATTTGACCTAAATGGTAATGAGATTACATTCTTGCTTTAATTGTTTGTAAAACAATTAAATCTGATATTGTTACCATATAAGTTCAACAGTATCAAATTCAACTATTACAATAAAATCATGAATGCATGTGAATGTATATATGGTAACACTATCATATTTATTTTACTAAATAGTAATGAGATTATATTCTTCCTTTAATTGTTTCTCTGTAACTGTAAAACAATTAAATCTGGTATTGTTATCATACACACACACACACATGTATTCACCTATACCATAAACCAAACATATAATGCAAAACTTTACTTACCAAACTAATTTGCACGTCTGCTCCTCCCAAACTCACACGTGCAGCTATACAAGCCCTATCAATCATCAATTTGAACTATATCACAACTTAAATAGCTATTATTCAAAAACAGTGATATTACATGTATAAACTAATTATAACAACTCTGTCATGATGTTGAAAATATCGAGATTACCTAGGTATTGTGATCCAACATCAAATCATAAGAAGTGACCGAGTGTGGCGATACTACAACTTCCATATCCTTGCCAGCATTTTCAAGTGGACTACTTCTTGGTACCACCTATATATCCAGAGTTAAAAATAATAATAATAATTCAATGGTGCTAATTAACAAAAAAGTCCTCAATCTCTAAGAATATTAATGAATGAGAGAAGATTTATACTTTGTTTGGCTCCTTAAAGGAATTCTCATCCATTACATTGTTGGAAGTAAGTAGAGTCTTAGTCGATCTTGACGAGTTTATTGAATTTGACTCTAAACCATACACTGATATCTTTAGATTCACTTTATTGCTCCCAAAATTGACAACCTACACATGCACCACAGTAACATACATACAAATGGTTAGCAAGCTAGAAGATCTATTTAAACAAAACAACTCATTTCAAGAGCAGCTTGGATTAATGCAATAGGAAATACCTTTACTTTCAAAAAACATCTGCCGTCATTTGAATTCTGCTGAGCTATTGCAGATGCAAGGATTGGAGTTGAAGAATTTGTGAGGAGAATCGTATTAAGTAGCATCGCACCACTTGTATCTGTAAAAAAGTGTTGCAACCAATAGCTAGGAGTTCCATATGCTTGACTGGAGTTGAAGACAATTGCATCCGGATTCCAACTAGAAGACAAAATTTTCTAATGTTAGAATAAACCGTAAATAAAAATGATAAGACTTTATAAATTCAAAAGATGGTGAAATTACCTCCTATCATGTACATTCACAAACAATGGTGCATAGCATACCATTGCAACAACATCACTGCAACAAATAAAGTTAAAATTAGTAGGTTACCATCATTTTAGTTAAAATTACTTGGATTGTGATCAAATTGGAGCTAGAAATAATAGTGAAACTTGTGTGATATATTACTTAAACATTTGTTTATCAAACAAAAGATAACCACTTGGATTTTTATGCACATTGGCAAACCTGTTCCTTTCCAGGCCAACGAGGAATCCAGCTTCCCCTAGTGCTGCTAAAAGGCTTCCCGTGCCACCATCTTTTCCATACACAGCATATTCACTAACAAACACCTACATAGTATTGAATAACCTATGATTCCTAGGTTTGAATCAAAACAAAAACTATGGATCTTATAGAGGTGCATACCTTTGGACCACTACGTGATGTATGGTCAAATTGATGAGCCTTAGAAAATAAGTCATTGGCATTTGTATAAATCTATTTAAGAATAAGAAAATAAAAACAAGGTTATTTTCATTGCGAGAAAAAATGAAAACAATTTATATATGAATATACAAGAGTTGCATCAAGAATTTTACATGAAAATCATATAAATCAGTTGGATGATCTAACTGATCCACAGATTCGTCACAGTTTGAGATTACTGTGATGTTTGGATAGTACCTTTTTATCGCATAGTAGAACTTGGGGTAGTTCTCTAGTCATTAAAAAAAAAAAAAAAAAAAGTAAGTATATTATGTCTATGAATGTAAAAGAGCAAGGTAATATTTGGGCTTTAGGGTTTATTAAATTCATAAAAAAATTTATTAAATCATATCAGAACTCATCAAAGACAAATAATCCTAGAAATTCAGAAGAGATCATTAATGGATAGACATCATGACAAAGTTTACTAACCATATATTTAACTTCAAAGTATAAATTCATAGATGAGAGTTCAATGTCACATGAATGACCTTTAGATTATTAAGAATTTACTATCAAATCACATTCATTCTCAATAGATATCCATAATTATTTGATCATAGACAAGAGATCTTTCATATAGTAAAAGTTTAGTGCAATTACCATTATCATGGTCCACTTTCTAATCATTTAATAACTCGAAATTAAGTGACTTGGAAGAGTATAAACGAAAACAAAAGAAATGAGTTAGAACAAGATGCAAACCTTTATAAGCATTTTTTTCCGTAGAGTAGCATTCTTCATTTCCAACAGCAACATATTTTAAGTCAAAAGGTTTAGGGTGTCCCATTGCAGCTCGTATAGACCCCCATTTAGAGCTTGGGTCACCTATGGCAAACTCAATGCCATCAAGGGCTTCCTGTAATTGAAACAAACAACATATATTAATATGTATATATATCCCTTCAATCAAAAAATTATCAGTTTTGGAAAAAATTTACGAGGTTAAGTTTAGCTAAACAATATAGGAGGAAAAACAAAAGTAATAGCCACACTTGGGACCCTTAATTCTACATTTAGACTTGAAAAATGATACAACTCAATATCAATACACTACTACAAAAGCCCCCCTTCCTTTACAGGGTAAAACTACAAAAAAAAAAAGCTTTCAATCACTGAAAAATGAAGCACCTATAAATCAATGAAGTTGATAAGATCCAAACATCAATAATTCTTTTAAATGAATGTAAGATCAGAAATCCCCAAGAAAGAAAAATATGAACTTTATAGCTAAACATTGTCCAACTCACGAGGGATATATGGAAGTGAATTTGGTTTTTGTCTCCATCAAAAATAAAAACTAGCACTTGCATAATACAAACTTAGTTTATTGACTGGTCGCAAAATATGGATTCAAAAATAAATAAATAAATAAACGCAGCAACTCAAGTTTTATAGTTCTTTTCAATAAATATCACAAACAAACAAAATTTGTAGCAAAACCCCAAGAAAGAAAAACTAGCACTAATTAGATGTGGAGTCAACAAACAAACAAAATTTGTTATTACTTTTTTGTTATCTGCAAAAAGAAATAAGGCTGTATGGGATCACATCAACTGCAATTGCATTTGTAGCATTTAAACTAAAGTATATTTGATTGGACCAATAATCATACAAACAATCAAGGCAACAATATTGAAAACATACCTGCACAAAAAGTGAGACATTGGAGGCTTTTTCTCGACCGAAATTGCTCATTCCTGCAAAGTTTATAAAACATATAAGTTAAAAATAAATCAACCACGTAGGCCAGCTGGAGGAAAAAAACAAGTATATCCGTCATTACCATTATTAAACACCCATATCGGCAATGCACCAAGATCTTCAGATAGCTGCACAAACAAGAATTAAACTTTTACTTTATTTATCTACATAAAGGAGTATAAGTGGAATTCTTTGAAGTAATAAGAACAAAAATAAAAATTTTCCTCCAGCTAAGACAAATAC